GTGCAACCTCACTCTGTAAGGGTGCAGAATCTCTGCTGTGTAGTACATCTGTGCTACACCATAGAAGAAGGGAAGCTACAGAGATTCTGCATTGGACTTGCTACATTCAGCTTGGAAATAGGCAGTTTGTTCAGAAAAGGATGAGAGGCCCAGTAGCTCTAGGATATAAATGTAAGTAATCCATAATATCTGCTGTAGTGAAATGACTTGAAATTAACTTCTTTAACGATGTATAAGTGTCAGTAAGAATATTGGGTCAATAGAAAAAGGAAAGTAAAGGCTGAAACTTGTCAATGAGTAACTACATAATTAATACATTTGTTTTGCAAAGCTAACAGAAGTTTTGTCTTCCTTTGAAATTCTATGTCCAGTCTCTGAAAGGGTAAGAATCCAAAAGTTTTATACCTTCATTAAAAGAATGATCTCAGGGTTGACTTTGCTAAATCAACAAAGTCTAATTTTTTGATAAATTAATATCCTTTTTCAACAATCAGAAGTTCATTTTGTCTCTTTAACTGCCAGTTGTTGTCAAATTTGATGCTGTCCTGTACATCATGTTCTGAAATTGGGACCAAGTTATTTATCTTAATAAGAACCAGCCACTGTTTTCTGTAGTACACCTTTCAGTATTAGTGGCTCTTTTCTGAACTCCTTTTATCTGAAAGACTGTCACCATTAACTGTATTTGTTTTTGAAATGCATCATGGGACTGAAATACTGCAGGAAGAGGTTACCTCTAAATAATGAAAACATGCTTATTTTCCCTCAAGGGTGACAACGAACCAACCCCAAATCTCATTAATAACTGCATGAATTGTTCTTTTCATTACTGTAATCCATAAAGGAAAAAAAAAACCACCAAAATTTGTCTAAATCTGTCTTGTATAGTGATTCTTCTTCAGTCTGCTTTTACTCAAAGAAAAGCCTATGGTTTCCTTGCAAATGTTGCCATAACATACATAGGGTAATCAAGTAGGAATTTGTAAAATAGTTGATAAAGCAATCAGAGGGCCTGGCAATCTCTTGTATTCAGGTGGAGCAAGCCTGAGTAAACTGCATTTTTTATATTGCTTTTCTTCACTGTACATCTGCCATGCCTCTCATCTCTTCTCCACATACTTAAAAAAGAAAAAAATCAGACTTTTGTACATCTTTATCATCTTCATAGTACTTAAGGCCGTATTATTTTGGAATACTGTAAGTTTGCTAAGACATTGAGTTTCATTTCTTGAGTCAACTTTCTGATTTTATCTCACTGTGATGTATGACCTTATTTTCTGTTTCATTGATTTATTGTGGGGCAGGGAGGAGGAAGAAAAAGATTTGTCTAACTATAAATGGTTAGGGTTAGAATGATAAACACACTTCCAGGATGGGGGTGGGAAAAAAAAAAGAAAATAATAACAACTAAGAGGAAACTCTCTTCCAGAAAAAAATAATGGAGCTTATTTATCTGAAGACAAAGATAAGATTTTGCATGTGGATACGATGATGCTGTCTTCCTTCAGGTAGTGGATATGTTATTGCAGAGCACTGAATTAACATGCTATGTTTATAAACTGTTAAGCAGAAGTTAGCTTACCAAGTTTAAATAAACTTTTTCAAAAGTGAAGCCAACCAACTGTGGACTGAATAGATACTTTCCTGTTAAACTTCAGCTCTTTTCCCTAAACGTTACAGCTTCTATGTAAAAAAAACAAACCAAAAAAACAAACCAAAAACAAAAAAAGCCAAACCACAAAACCAAAATAAACCACCAGACAAACAACCCCTCCCTAAATAAGTCTGGATATTACTGAGGTAGATCAAAATTGTTACAGAAAGGCCAGTATTTCATGTTCAAAACAGGACTTTGTGGCTCATTCTAGACAGTATATTGCTATTTACAGGTATGCAAAAAGCTACTATTCATATGTGATCTTTCTTCTTACCCAGTTTTAATTAACTTTGAGTCTGTTCCAGATTAAGGAACGGAGTAGTTTTTTCCATACTTCATTTAATTTGACTATGGCTTCATTGCACTGTGTTGTGCTGATAGGTTTGTGTATAGGAAATGCAATCCAAACTCTATGAGATGACTGAGAGTTCGGTTTACCTGGCGAATTCCCATATGACGTGCTGCTTTATAATGGGATGTGATCCATGTACCAGAAATGCAGACAAGCTACACATTGCAAAGTTTAGCTTCTTTGTTTTTCCTGAAATGAACTGCTTTAGGCAGCCTGAGAAGTAGACAAAAAAGTGTTACTGATCGTCGAATCTAAGGATGGAGGTATGGATGGGACTGCAGTAGAGAAGCATGAAATTTCAAGGTTTTGGATTGGGTCAAAAAGAAAAGAGAAGTCATCATTGTTGAATTAGCAGATTTTCTTAGGAGACTTCAGAAGACAGTGTATTACAGAAGTAAAAAAAAATCACTGCCAAATTAGCTTATAAAATATTGATAACTATAAATAATTCCACAAATTAATTATCTGTCCTTGTAAGGCATGAAGAGTTATTAAAACATTTATTTGTTCTAAAGCTTTAGCACAAACTATAGAATGCAGCAAGCTTTCTTCTGTTACCACATCATTAGTTTACAAAGGAATGATCACTTCCAATATCAGGATTTATCAGATTTAACAATAATTTTAAATGTCGCTAATAAACATTCTACTACTACTTTGCAAATTGCTTTCAGTTACTTTTTCCAAAAATGACTTTGGGCATATTCTATGCTTATTTTCAGCCCTGAAGATTTTTCCAGTGGAAATATAAAATAAATTCTAAAATACCATTTACTTCTGATCTGCCTGAGCAAGTGGGATAGAAAGCTCTTTTTCATGCTCCAAGGAGTTTTTTCTGACGCTGTTTTGCACAGGAGTCACTCAAACATTCCTGTCTTAGACCTTTACCCTTATGTGTATGTACTGATAGCACAAAGGTGGCCTGCATTTTTAAAATTAGTTTGGCAATAAAGCTAGAAACGTGTTAAGGATATCTGAGGTACTTAATGGGTTTTCTAAGGAACTCTCACGAGTGTATAATTTCAGTAATTATTTTAGTATATTTGAGAATTTTATCTATAATGTAAGACCATAAAAAAAATTACAAATTATGGAGTCTTATCGTAGCAGGCCATCATTTTTTCACCCAGTCAGTACTGTACAAAGCTGTGTTTTGTTGAATAGCAATTTGTATTTTTGGATAAATAATGTCTTTTTAAAAAGGAATCAGTTTTGATCTGAATATGTCAAGAAAGATTGCAATGTTTACATTGGCATCAGTGTCTGAACACCCCCAGTCTTCAAGCTTCTATCTACTTTGAATTGTGTGATTTCATCTTTCAGGTGAATGTTGTTATTTTTCTGAGTAATTTGAAGAATTCCTTCTTACCTGACATTTTCTCCATGACTAGGAACTCACAGGCTTTACTTATGACCCTGCAATGCCAAAAGGAGGAGGAGGAGGTAGAACTCATTTTTGTATCAATATTTTTATGTAAAAAAAGATGTATGAACACACTTGAAGTTTAAAGATAGACGTTGGAGAAGTCAGAATATTCACTGCTCAGCACCTTATTCTTACAATAGCAATGCCAATTGCTTTTCAACTAGCTTTCAGCAACACAGCTGTTCTTAACATTTTTAGGCTAGGAGCAGTGTAGCAGACTTGCATAATGACACTGAAGATCAGAAGCGCATCCTGTACCAAACAATTTAGGAATCTCATTAAACTGCAATTGAAGACATGGCAGCTGCGCACTGGAACAGATGTGCTTACTTGTCTGAATAGTCCTGATCTTCTCTAGTGGAAAAGCTGGGAAAGCAACAACCTGTTGTGCTGCAGGATGTGAATACATGAAATTTCTTGATAGCCTTTTTGATTTTTTGATTATAGAGTTACAGGTACTGTGGAGAACCCCGTCCACATTGCACAGATCAAGACACAATGGAGGGACCTGTTAATGAACGCAAAAATTGCTACCAGTAACTGTTTTTTTGAAGGTAACCTGTTGTGAGATATCTCCAATGTTTGTGCAGAGTGTGGTACTCTGGCACTCTCAGTTATGAAGTGTCTTTCACCCAACTGTAGTAAGGCAGGACACAGTCCTTGTGCCTGTTAACTGCTGTGTTACATTCCACTAATGCTTCAAGTTCTGCAGTACCAAAAAAAGCCCTAATATAATATGTAAGAGTATATACATGTAGGATTCTTTTTCTTTAGCTTAGTGTTGACGAAGTCCATGTGATGGACATAATTCAGAGGCTACAGACACAACCTCTCTGCAGACCTTATTCAGTCTGATATAATGGTTTTCTTGTCCAGAATCTGTGATGGCTGGTCATGAGTATGGAGGCCAGCTGACCCCCAAAATTATATGAATGCATTTGCAGCTAAGAGCTCTCAACAGTACTTTGAAGTATTTGCCACCTGGTAGGAAGAAATCACATAGGACAAAATTTCTTGTTCTTTTTTTGCTAAGAAAAAAATTGTTTCTTGTGCTGACCTCTCCCCAATGACACATTGATCTTTCCCCTGCTGTGAAACTCCACTAGCAGATCTCATTAGTGAGGTGAAAGAAAGTTAGATCATAGGTAGTCAGAAATGTGATGAAATTAGCAAGCATAAAAAGTAGTCAACAGTCCTAGGTGCAATATTTCTTTAAAGTATGAATCAACATAGTGTTAAAAACTGGCACAGAACTTACTTTTCCAAATTACTTTTAACAGAACTGAAGGCTTAAACAAGTGAGGCTGGCATCTTTCACTTCCATATCATTGGGTCGAATCCTATTCAGGTTAGCAGTGAAAA